TAGACTTCATCCAAGCGACCCACAGTGAGGCAATGAGAGCCTCATTCCTGCAGTTTTTCGAGCAGAATCTGCAAGAAAGACTCGTAGCGACAATCCCACCGGAGGTTTCATAGCCTATCGCACCGCCGCGACTATCCTGCTCATAGAACTACGGAAGGCGTTCGACCAGGGGCACATCAAGGCGGGAGAACTAGCCAGAATCTCAATTCGAATGGATTATAACCCCGGCACGCGTCGTGTCACTTTCTCTCTCCCGGAGAAAGCGACTGCGGACGCATGGTACGGCAAGACAATCAGGTTCGGGCACGCCAACCTTAAGCTCATTGATCCGGATAGACAAGCGGAAGATTATCTGCCGACGGTTGAGACTTCAACTGAGAAGAGGGAGAAGCATGCACTGAACTACCAGATGAGGGTGCTAACTCACGACCTGACCGCCTGCGAAGTGATGCAAATCATCGGCGCTGGCACAGATTGCGGCATCGCCACAATCGCGAGACAGACCCTGGTTGAATCCAAGGCCTACGATTCAAATTACTTTCTGGTGATCCGGATTGCTCACCACAACTGAAGAATGTCACTCACATTTCGGCTGGCAAGTCCTCTATCTTCATTTACCACGTCATGTTCCATCAACGCATCCCATGCTTTGCTTGTTATGACACCAACCATTTCGGCACGGTATGTCCTAACGCTGCGAAGAAAATGAAGAAGTACCATCGAGACTTCTCGCATAACTTAGCCCGAGAGGAACCGATCAGGCCAATGAAGTTGAAATATATGGCATTGGGAGATCGTTTTAAGCACATCATGGACTCAGCTGAGAGGCTGACTACTAAGATGAGGAAGTTGAAGGCCTTTTCGACAAAGGGACCACTATTGGAACGGTCCGAGGCTGAGGAAAAGGAAGTGACGACCATCAGACAGACCGAAGAGACAAGCGCAAAGCAAAGCATCACGGTTAAACAAGCGATCAAGACAGGGTCGAAGTCGGATGGCTTGCACAACTCAGTAGGCGGGAAAGTCAACTTCGGCAGAGCAAACTCCAACGCAACTCAGCAGCAACGAAAGCGATCAGCATCGCTGGGCACCAAGCCCAGGACACAAATCAGTAGTAGGCCACACTCAAGTCAGTCCACGGGCAACAATCCATCAATGGGTAAGAACGATGATAGCAGAGCTACGAAGGCGTCGTTGGGCCTCAACGGCAAGCCGAAGAGTGAAAAGACATCTAAGACACAGCGCAAGAAGAAAGCGGAAGCGCGTAAGAAGCAGGAAGATCTTGTGAATACGATGAGGTACGGATCCTTGATTGATGACAAGGTGAAAGAAGGCGAGAAGGGACCGATCACTGACTCCGAAGTCGACGAAACTCTGCCCGCCAAAC